AAGTCTTCTGTCAGGTCCCTAATTATGGTTTTATACCTTGTATAGTTATATAATGCCTCTAAAATTTTCTCTACATAATCAGTCCTACTCATAATCACTACTGCTCCTCCTCTATCTCCCCTTAATTCTTATTTGTCATCGCCTTAAGCTTCCTTATATTACTATTTACTGTCCTATTTTCGTATGGTAAAGTTTAAGCCCTTATTAATTTCTTCTTCAACCATAGATATAGTTGGCTAATAGTAGACGTATTGATCATAGACGTAGTCAATGCAGAAAAGGCTTGGCATTGAGAATTACGCGAGCTCTTCAGCCTGAAGTTAGTCTCCATTCCAACTTAAGAATCCTGATTTTTAAGGGCCTACTCAGCGAGGAGAGAGTAGACGTGCCATCAAATGCTTGTGACAGTTTGAAAAATTACGCTTCGAGTAATACAAATGAGGTGGCACGAGTCGAGTGAAATACCTGAATCAGGGAGGTGGGAGACGGATCCTACGGGACAAAAGGGAGACTCTGATAAGACCTTTAAAAAGAGGATTGCAGGGTTAAGGGGTGAGGAAGCCAGCTTGGGGTTTGGAGAGTTCTAATAAAATCCGCTAAAAAGAGCAGCGCATATCACATTTAATTAAGCAATTAGGAAATTGTGATAGGGAAGGGATATAGGATTGGTGAATAGCCCGGGGCAGAAGAAGAGATGCCACAATTGTTTAGCAGATAATTGGTCAAAGAATCAGCTTCACTTTTATGAGTTGTAGTCTGGTGCTAAAAATGGCAAGGCTCACTGACGATACCGGCTACGATGCCGGCGAAACGTCTGGAAACGTACCACGTCCACGGTCCGACTAGAAATTATCATGCATACTCAGGACTCTGGACTAGATGCGCTCCTCTAGGTTTTCCTATCATTATGATCAAGTTGCGAAAAAAAACGCCATACAACTTCCATACATATGCAATCAAAATAGAAGTTCTGATTTCTATGATAATCAGAAATCTAGGTCTAGCAGATGTAAAGTATAGGGATCAGGAGATAGGTAGATTGAGGCTTATACTATTTCAAAACAATAACCGATTTGGATTAATCAATAGACAATTACACGCCACTTATCGTTAGCACGATGAGGCGAGTTTGTAATTTGAGGCGGGATAGACAATTGAACCATTATATTTGTTTCTTGACTTTCCCTTCCTGTCAGCATACGAGAGAATCGGGTGATCTGAGGAATTGGAACAAAAACAATGTATAAAGAGAAATTAGCACTATTCAGTAGTTCCTTCGTTTAGAGAATTTTCCAACCCTCTTTCTAGATCAGGCTGCTACAAGGTTTTGTGCTCATGTGGTAAGGTCTATATGGGAGAGACCTACCAACTCATTCAAAAGAGACTATGCGAACACAAATCCGCTTGTAAAGGTCTATGGGTCCAAAAATCTGAGCTCGTTAAATAAATGGCTAGAACAGGACACTGGTCAAAAACACGTTTTGGGGGTTACGGGGACTTGTAGCTTTTGTGTCAATTGTTAGTAGATCTTTGTCCCATCCGTGCAATGTTTTGCGCTATTTCGAATTCCTTTTTCTTCCTGTGTTACCAACATACTTCTAATTACAGTTGCCACGTCTCATGCGATAAACTTTTGAGCAATCCATTTTGTCACCCCACTTGTGTGGCTTTGGCAGGCCGGTGAAGAATGTTGTCTTTTCCTTTGTTATCACCTTGATATTCCATTTTCTTAGTAACGGTCGCAATTTTTGGAGGCAGGCATATTCATTTTTGGTCCTCTATTACAAGAAATTCCAATTTACAGAACAAAATGTGTATTTTTCTTAATTGATCCTATTAATCATTGACATATTAATCATGACATTAATTCCAAATTTGCTAACGCTATGGGTAAGCGCGTAGGCATCAACGTTTGGACTGAACAGTCTGAAATTAATTGTAAATCCTATGATTTTCGGCGCGACATTTTTTTAGCAATCAAGGGACAGATATTCTGCGAAAATACGAAGCCAACGTTTATTCTATCTCATATAAGGGCCTTTGGCGTACTAAATTTTTACTAAAATGCTGCCGCCATTCAAATAAGCTTTACTATTACTCTTTATACTTAAATATGTGAATGGGTTCTATTGATAAAATATTTCAAATATACTAGTATCTACACAAATTTCCATTCGATATGATCAAAGTAGTTGCAAAGATAATAATCACGTTTTTTATCTAGCTGCATCGTTTGTCGATAATATTTATGTGTGCGGGACGAGGTAAGAATTTCAGCTTTGGAGAAGCATTATCCTGATTACAAAGAAGGTTTGATGTTACTATGGCAATAGCCTAATTTAAATTAAATCAGTACCCTTGGTAAATTGGATTTTGCATACGTTGTACAGTCGACTTCAAAAGTAATACTCTTTAATGTAAAACTTTACATTATATAGTAGTATTCTATCATTTTTTGCGGAACTCGTATTAGACATCCCGATACGGAACTTAAATATATCTACACACCAAATTAGTTTGTTTTTGAAATATTAGTTGAGCTTGAGTAATAAGCCGAGTGACTTTAGATGAGGTCGAAAGTGGAGTCCAGTCTGGATGATAAAATCTTTCAGGTTGTAAGACTAGGCGAAATTAAATGACATTTTGAGGCTCTACATTCGTTTAATTGTAAGAAATTCAGCTAATAATACTTATTCCCAGACGTTTCGCCGGCATCATAATCGACGAGTCCAGTCTGGATGATAAAATCTTTCAGACAATTGGCTGTTAAACAATCGTGGTATCTCTCCTTCCGCCCTTGGTTAATCACCAATCCTTTATCCTCCTATTACGTCTTCACTGTCACAATTCTTTACTTAGTTATTTAAGTGTAGTATGATGTGCCCTTTTGAGTGGCTTTCATGCTGGCTTTCTCATGGGGGAAAGGAGGGATACCATGATTGTTTAGCAGACAATTGTTCAGAAGATTGGCTTCACTTGCCTTTTTTACGAGTTGTAATGTGGTTCTAAGACTGGCAATGCTCACTGACGATGCCAGCGAAACGCCTGGGAATGTACCACATCCACGGTCCGATTCTGGAAATGATCATGCATACAATGGGCTCTGGACTAGGTGGGTTCCTCTAGGTCTTCCTACTAATATGACCAAGTTGCGAAAACAACGTCAAACTACTTATATACAACAAAGGGAGACTGCAACCACACAAAAGGCTGCATCATTTTGGTATTCATACCTTCGACTACTTATTTAACTTCATGGTCTTAGGTGAGGCATTATTATTCGTATGCACATCTCTTTTGCGTTCATAACTGTTTATAATATATGGATGAATGAATGCTATTTATCTGGAACTCTTCTTCTAATCATTTTAATTAACTCAAAAATGATGCTAATTCTTATGCATATCAACTAAGGTTCATGATTTGATACTTTATTTACGTCATGCATGTATATACATGTCTCGCATAAATTGTTTTAATATATTTAAAAAAATTAACATTGACCAGCACTGTCACTATTTCGTTTTGGTTGGATTCGTTAGATCACTTTTCGCGAAACAACAACTCGATTGTTCATGTCTATGAACAAATAAATATTTGTACCTTATATTATATCATGTATAAATTGGGCAATTTGACCCTTTACTAAGTCGCCCGACAAATAATATCGAAACCTGTTATGATTCATGAATCAGTTAAAATTGAATATTCGTTTTCAATCTGCCATTGCTGGTACGACAATAATATGCAGTCTATTTTAAATAGATATTTATACAATTTGTTTACTCTTTAGAATGCCCATTGCCTCATCTAAGATAAGTCATTTCATTTGGTAATACTTATCCAGGATGTATTGTCGATCTAGTATAGTAGTGCTAAGTTAAGTTAACTTTTCCAGTACGTGCAAACTGCAAACATTTCCATGAGGAATTCGATCTTGACCACATATATTCTCATAATGTAGCAAGACTCCCTTTTTTATACTTATGGGGAATATTTGGTAGCATCATCAAGCTCTCTTATACTTACAAAAGTATATACACTTGTTACGGTTTAATGCCTCATTGTCCCAGTTTATCTTAGGTAGATTCTAGTCCAAAGTGGACTGACGAAACCAACGGCATTCTGGAAATTAGGTGATTTTGTTAAGCGAAATTTAAAGTAGGCTATATTAATCGCATCAAACTGTGCTGTAATTATCTTTAGTTTACGAACAAGGCCTATGATAAAGCCAATCACAAATTTGTTTATCTTTTTTGTTGCTTTCGTTAATCCATATAATTCTCCACCCTCCTTTTTAACCTAATTTTCTTAATCATGCATATCAACTCCTAATTTTATGCAGCTTTATTCTACCGAACTCGCACTTCTGCTAAAAGAGCGTCAGCGAAGGCGACAGCATCAAGGTGGACAGAGACTAGAAAGCCAGGTGCAAAACACTGATCAGGCAACCAGCCAACCTCTAGATTTCCCAGCAACTGCTGCCTTGTTTCAGGTGCATACAAATTCCACAGCCTCCGATACCGCGGCCGAAGCGAGTCACTTTGAGACAGGTGTTCTCAGACAGTCGCTTCACATCAAGCCTCAGCCATTCTCTCTCAGACAACCTTACCATGACCATAATCTTACCAAACAGCAACAGCAACAAGACCTACAGCACAATCTTCATGATCCCAATACCAGTCATCAACATAGCCATGCTGTTACCGATCCGATAGGTCTTCAGAAACGACAGCAAAGGCAATTGCTTAACTTTAATATCCATAGATCTTGTGGCCAAACTCGAATTAACCGACAGTTCACTGGGCTGAAAGTCGCTTCCGCAGTTCAACTCCCTACCCGCTTTGGTTTACAAACCAGGCCAGTTTGGCATAGTGATGAGGGGAGCCGATCTGTTGGAAGTACAAATTCTGCTGGAGCTGGCGATGGTGCTCTTGCCGACGTTAACTTCGTTGCCTGTGAACAGGGTGAGAACATGCTTTTGTCAAGCGAAGGTTGGCCAGACGACCGAAGACGAGGCATCGGCAAAACAACTTTCAGTACTATTGGTAGAGATGAAATAAATGTCATCAAGACTAAAATCAGCTCTATCAATAATAAAAACCATGGCGATAGGAATGATAGCAACTTTCGATATCAAGGGTCACGCTCGTTGGCGAGTAGCACCAACAAGAAAAGCAAAGGAATTGTGAACAATAGGGGTAGATTTAATAGTCTGATCGGAACCTGTGGAGTCATGGGTATTGGTCGGACAAAAGAAGGAATAGGAGAAGGAATCGATGTGGAGTCTCGGGCTAACCCATCTATGGTCGGAGAGGTTACAAGAGGAATTGACACTTCTGTACAAACTGACAAAGCTCCAGCTCTCCAGCCTATGTCTCCAAGTAATT